CGATAAAAAATGAGTGCTGTATAAAGGCGTGTTTATGACAATATTTGAGTGGTTAAAGATAATTAATTATAAGGTGAAGAAAACAAAACAAATGTTTCATAATGAGTAGTAAGTATATGCTTAGGTAGTACTTAGGTGGAGCATTTTTTTCGTAGTTAGTGAATGCAACAAATCCAATTTCAATAATATGAAGGAAAATCTTCTAATTATACATAGCTCCATGTGTCATAATGAGAGGGATTCTTTAGGAATATTTTTTTATCATGCATTTATATAGATAGATTGTGATTTTATCTAAATAAATATGTTTAGACATAGATATAGCTATAGAATAATTATAAATGATTTAAACGTTTCAAAATCAGATTTTTATTTAATTCAAAAGTTCAAAGGCACCAAGAAGAAGCTCGAAAGAAATTGAACATGTGAAATGGTACACCTCCATAATTGTCCTCCATCTCATTTGTCTAAAGCCATCAACTTTATTGACTATAAATTGAAAGCTACAGTTGTTGTGACTGTAACTTTCAATTAAATCCCGTGAGTCACGCAATGCAAACATCCAAACTAATGTCTCTCACTGACGAAAGTGGCATTGGGCTTCGAGCATTAAAATCAAGAATTTCATCATGTTATATAATAAACATCCTTTTCTCCTTTTCTAATGTAACGCGCTTTTTCTTCTTTTGTAAATTTCTGAAGGAGGATGACGTGGTGTAGAAGCTTTTCACATTAGGAATGTAGTAAAAGCTCTTCCCATTGAGGAATGTAATGTTACTATTACTAAAATGCCCAATCCAAAAGAACGGCTTAAATTTGACAAACAATGAGCTGCACACTCAAAATAACGCACTTAAACTTTCCACATGCCTAAAACCTTTCGGATTTATTAAAGTTGTATGTAGCATGCGTGATTAATTAAAAGGTAAAAACATAATTTAGATTAATGACATTTTGGTATCTTTTGGGGATCTTGTAATATGGTCTCGCATGATCTTCTAATTTACTTAAAAAGTAAGCATTAACACTTTTTATGTATTCCAATCATTTGAGGCAATGGCTTGAAAGCATAGGATGTACATGCTCATACCGTTTCCATAAGGTATTGCTAAGTTGTATAAAGTAGTGCATCGAAGATGACCATACTTATGATATCCGATTGCTATATCTTTGGAAGGATTGTTGTTTTATACATAATTTGTGTAAAGTTGGGTTCGTATAAACCATCATCAATGCATTATGTGTATTTTGAATGCTATTCTTGAAACAACATTTTGTTCAAATTTGATCACGATGTCCTTTACTCATTACACTGAAGTGTCCCGTTAGCCATCCTTGAATGGAGCTAACCTAATGCATGTGGATGAAGCGATTTGCATGTAAAAATCGGTGTTAATTAAAATCGAATGATTTGAATACTAGTGTTATAAATGAGATAAAATAAATGTGGACAAGCCATCCCCTCAAAGTCTTCGTACGGTACGCCAATTTAGTCAACAAGTCAAAGCAACTAATAATAATAATAATAATTAAAAGCAACTAATAACGCCACCAAAAAGATATATAAATAAAACAAGCCAAAAAATAAATAATTGCGGCTAGGCTCTATGTGATCTTCATTACTTCTACTCCAGCGGTTCAAATTCCGAAGGATAATATTCATAATGATTTTCAATTTCTCATGATATATTTATTAAGAGATGAAATATTATAGATCGTGCTAACCAAAGAGGTGTATCGCTAACAAATGTCGTGACAATCTATGCTAAATCATGCAAAACAGATTTATTTAATATGTCAAGATTGTAGTTACAAATTTACGATTTTCTTGATATGTTGCGTCCAAAACTAATTAAATAAAATATATGCGACCATAAAATCATGGAAAATGAAGGAAGCAAAGGGAAAGGTACACACGGGCTGGCGCTATTCAATGGAGAAAATGGCAATAAAAGAATGTCGCTATGCATTGTCAGAGGGACCTTAGAAGAAACGGATCGTGTAGACCACATTGAATCTCGTCCTTATGGTCGGAGTTTAAGTTAAGCGGGTTATGGGACAAATTCTATCATCGACCACGAGTTTAAGCTTATAAACATCGATCGATATCTAAAGAAAATAAAAGATACTTTTTCATGCATTTATTCATGAATGCCTAATGCTATTGAATATCTTTTAGTCCGGTGTCACTTTCCTTCAAACCATATTCCTTTTGGAATAAAAAAAAGCAATCAAATAAATTGCACAAAACAAAAAAATGAATCGAATACTAAATTTACATGATTCAGTTGTGTGATCTACGTCTACGAGAAGAGTAGTATAAAATTTCATTATAGATCAAAAGATGTAATGAAAGTTATAATCACACTCGAGTTATTTAAATACTCTCCGTGTTTTTTAGGTTCTAATTATATTTAATAATGTTTAACGTTTAAAATTTCTCTCGCGTAACGAAATGACACAAATCTTAACAATATAATCGGCTTCGGAACAGAAATATTTGGTGTGATCAAGAGGAACTCTTGGCACGCTTTTCAATATGCTCTGTGCAGCCTTCAGAGCTCTCCTGGTATTTAAAGAGCAAATTCTGCAGAACCAAATAAAGAAGAAGAAAGGAAACGACTGAGTAGCCAACATGGAAAGACACCATCCTTGCAACTTTCTTCGTCTTCTTCCCTTTCGGCCCACATCGGCAATGGCCATCACATTAATCTCGTTTCCCTTTCTTCAGCTGAGCAAAGCCGTCTCTTATGGTCAATACCATCATGGTTTCCCTTTCTTCCTTTCGTGCTCAGAGCGACACCACGATGGAGTGGCATCATGGCCATTGACAGGCCATCCCTGCATTTCCTCTCACCAATTTTGAACAGTGGTCGAGCGTCCATAATTCCATCCGGTCCTATTTCATCCAACGAGCTCAAATTCGAAATATATTCTAACATATTTGGTTTAACGTTCAAACCACTCTAACTACACTATGCTCTCATTCTAATTGTCGTCGGTAGGAAATAAATGATCATTTGCTTTTTAATATAATGACACGTTTTATGAGAATATTTGAGTTGTTAAGGGAAATTACTTGTACTTAAAGGTAAGTCTTTAAGGCGAAGAGATCAAAACAAATATTTCATAGTAAGTAGTAGTACGTATATGCTTAGGTAATGCTTAGGTGGAGCATTTGTTGTAGAGAATGCAGCAAATCCAATCTTTGTACTATGAACGAAATTTTTCTAATTATCCGGAGTCCTAAGTGTTAGAATGACAAGCGATTCTTTAGGAATATTTCGTTACTCTATATAAATAAATTGTTATTTTACAATACTAGATTGGGATTTTAAATATGCCCAACTATAGATATAGAGAATCAAATATTTTTAATCCAAAAGTTCAAAAGCACAAAGTGAACAGCACAAAGGAGAAACTCGAAAGAAATTGAGCGTGTAAAAAGGCGTACCTCCACAATTGTCCTCCACCTTATTTGTCTTTTCTAAAGCCATCAACTTTATTGACTATAAACTAAAAACTGCACTTGCTACGAAGTTGCCTATACGCGTTTTGGATGGCAAATGAGATGGGATTCAAATATGTGAAATGTCATATGGCGAACTCAGAGACCAGGTGAGAGGGCTGACCTTGCCAAGTGCGAAGTGAGCTCCTATGGCGAACTTAGAGACGGGAACGAGCACTAGCAATACATCAGGAGGTGAGTACCAGGTCTTCTTGAGTTTTACAGGGCTTGATACTTGTCGTACATTCACAGATAGCCTCCACCAAGCCTTGGTAGATGCCGGGATTAGTGTTTTCATCTATGACGAAGGGCTTCGATCAAGTGACAGAATTAGTGGCAACCTTCTACAAGCGATCGACAATTCCAAGCTCTACATACCCATCTTCTCCAAAAATTACGCTTCAAGTGACCGGTGCCTCAACGAGCTTGCGGAGATGGTGGAGAATGCCTCTAAATATAAAGAAGATAGGAAAGAGCAGGTCATACTACCCATCTTCTACGACGTGAAACCCGCTGACGTGAAGTTGAAAACCTCGTTGTACACAAAAGCCATATCGAACTTCAACTCCAAGGATATAGAGAGATGGCGGAAAGCTCTCAAAGAAGTTTGTGGCTACAAGGGATGGGAGATGGAGAAATATTCATGGTAACAATCTAACCATGATTGTGAAAATTATTTTGTACAATCGGGCCATTTTATATTTAAGTAAATCTTCTATTACGGTAAATCGTTAGATGTTTATATTTTGATACTTCAACTATTTTTTGCCAGAAATTCTGATTCTTCTACTTGATATAAAGATCAAACGTTTCTCTTCTATATCCTAAACTTGATCGCGTTCCCACCTGGTTGGTTAGTAGATGGTTGGTCAACATGCAAATTTCTCACCTTTTCTCAATTGAAAACGTTCAACTTTTTGGCAGCTATGCGGAACTTATCCAGGCGGTTGTTCAAGAGGTTATGGCCAGGTTCGAGACAAGACAGAGACGTGTAACCAGAGATTTAGTTGGAATGGAGGATCGAATAGCAACCATAAACAATTTATTAGACATCGACTCTGATGGTGTGCGGCTAATTGGAATCTACGGGATGGGCGGTAGCGGTAAAACAACACTTGCCAAGATTATCTTCAACCAACTATGTCCTCGCTTTGGGAAAAATTGCAGCTTTCTTGACGACGTGAGGGAAACAGCAAACACCAATCGTTTAGAGAAGTTGCAAAAAAAATTGTTGTTCGATGTCACTGGAAAGGAAACTTACATTACAAACGTTGATCAAGGGACCAATAGGATTGAAGATACAATTTGCAACAAGAAGGTGCTAATTGTATTGGATGATGTTGATAAGGCCGACCAGATCCAAAAACTAATCGGAAAGAAAATTTTCTATCCTGGTACTAGAATACTTGTTACCACTAGGGACAAGAGTGTTCTGGACAAGAGCGTTCTGAATATCGGGGGATTTAAGTATGAATTCAAGGATTATGAAATGATGGGGTTAAGCGGCAAAGATGCACTTAAACTTTTTAGTAGGCATGCCTTCAACGAGGACTCTCCTCCAGATGACTACGGCACTCTTTCAAAGGGCATTGTCTATACTACAAATGGACTACCTTTAGCTCTTCAAGCAATAGGTTCATCCCTCTTTTATAAGAAAAACAAAGAAATATGGAAAGAGTGGCTAGAGAAGCTAAAGAAAACACCTCATAAGGATGTCTTGGCAAAGCTAAGGATTAGCTATGATGCCTTAGAGTGGTATGAACAACAAATATTCCTCGATATTGCATGCTTTTTCATTGGTGAGAATAAGACTAATCCAATGTACATGTGGAAAGATTGTATGTTTTACCCAGTGGGTGCCATCGAGGTCCTTATTAACAAATGCATGATAAAGGAGTTAGACGATAATAGTCTTTGGATGCACGATCAGTTTAGAGATCTTGGAAGGAAAATTGCCAAAGAAGAGGGAACCCGATTGTGGGATAAAGATGACATCATTCACAAATTAAAATCAACAGAGGTAAAGTATGGCCAAATTTGAATTGAAATTTACTTATAACCTCTTCTTAATTGATGTTTCACGTTTTTGAATTGGGAGTTACACTTCTACTACATTTTTTCTTTTCTTCTACGAAATAAAATAGTGGGATATTGACAAATTCCTCTTTCTGCTCCTTAATGTCATTGGCAGACCAAGGGAAGCGTTGAAGCACTTCGTATGAAACCAAGGGGTTCGTCGAAAGATCCTATAATTGTCACTTCAGAGCAAATTAAGCGATTCCCGGATATAAGGTTTCTTTCGTTGTGTGAGGTAAACTGCCAAGGTGACTTTACGAGCTGTCTTTCGAAGTTGAAATGGATCAGTTTGGAGAACAAATATTCTATTCCTCCTGGGCCTGCCGCCGCCCATCGTCAACGGCTTGAGGCAACTAATTCGTGGCATCTAGAAAACGTGGTTGTGTTAAATCTTTCTGGGGTTGATATCACAGAAGATGTGTTCCAGAGCCTAATCAAGGTATGCTAGTTTCACCCTTAGTCTAATTTTCTCATTCACTGAAGGTAAAAATCTAATGGATTTATGATCTAATTTTCTCATTGGTAGCCTAAATCCATAGTTATTTCTTATCTATCCTGAGGTTTCATTGGCTTTTGTAGGAGGCACGGAAATTGAAGGTTCTCACTCTTTGTTATAATACGCTGATACATGGGAAACCAACTTTTCCCCGGAACTCAAGTTTAGAGAAGTTGACGATTTCCAATTTTCTTTCCTTGAAGGAAATTGATCGCTCTATTGGGAAACTGACGAAGCTCACTGACTTGAGTTTTGAGTTATGTGTCGAAATTGAAAAATTGCCTGAACAAATTGGAGAATTACAGGAACTGCAGCACCTCTCTCTTAGGAGTTGTGATAGCTTGAGGGAACTCCCCGACTCGGTTTTGAAATTAACGTCGTTAATGAAGCTGGATGTATGGGGCACGAGAATTACAAGGTTACCAGATTCCATTGATAGACTATCAAGCCTGTCATCTATCAATGCATCATTCACATCGATTGAAAAACTGCCCAGTACAATGAGCAAGCTTCTTTGCCTCCAAACACTGCATTTGAATAATTGCAATCAGATACAAGAGCTGCCGGAGCTCCCTAGAAGTTTGACCACTCTACGGTTGACATCTACTTCGTTGGTGACTGTCCCTAACCTCTCATACCTTACTAATCTAGTTGAACTGACCTTGTCCGATGGCTCTGAATCTGTTGCCGAATCAGATATAATTCAAACTTGCGACTTGCAGTGGATTGGGAGTTTATCCAGACTGAGCAAGCTGCAATTTTGCTTTTCAAATGTCTGCGTTTCGACTATGGAGTTGGGTTCCCTTTCTCAGCTGAAAGAACTTATTCTACATGGACTAGATGTGCCAGCTTTCAAACGACTTCCATCATCAGAGTTGATGGTTCTAGAGCTCTACGACACTCGAGGGAAACAAATACGGCTTCCTCCATCGGAAAAGGAGACTGCAACCGTTGCATCAAGCTCGAGAAAATCGGAAAACAGCAAGGTGTCACGGCAAATTGAAATTATTTTCATGGAGGGCCATAAATCATCGGGTGGGTCAGTTCATCTGCGGGAGGAGCCGGGGTGCAATGAGCTACAAGCTCCTGAGTTGATTGATCATTGGAGGGGAGACTTCCATTTCCCAAGCTCCATAAATACGCTTCGAAAACTCGTTCTGTGGGGGTGCCCAGGGGTAGAAGATATTCAATTTGTTCCTACGCTGTTGTTAATATTGTCTGTTGGAGGGTGCACTTCATTAAAAAGATTAGGCGGTTTGTCAAACTTGAAGTACCTGACGGAGTTGACTCTTAACCGGTGCTGGAACCTGCAGGTTGTCGAGGGCATTGACGAGTTAAAGTTTTTGCATCAGTTGACAATTGATCGGTGCGGAACAGTGGAGAGGATTCTTGACCCATCGAGCTCAAAAATACCAGATAAGTGCTCAATAAGCATAAAACGTAGTGGGAAGTTACCTGACTGTGGTCGAACTCACAACTCTTGGGGGTCTTACAAAAAGATTCTGAATGGAACTGAAATTGAAAGGGCAGACTCTGAAACAGAAACAATGCATACAGAAACAGAGGGTTTTTATATAACAGTGCGGGGGAACTTTATATTTAGATTCGATAAATCTGAAACAGAAACAGGGGATGCTCCGGTACACCTCTCTGCTATTGTTACAGTACCGGACATGAACTCTATAATTGAAAGAGCGGACTCTGAAACAGAATCAGAATCAGAATCAGAAACAGAAACAGAGGAAAGGGTGCGCCTTCTTTCTATTCATAGATCATCGCTGTTTCTTCTGCTTTACTTGCTTTCTATTTCTGCTTTATTAAAATTCCCGATTTACTGGGAATCTCCATATGCTGTCTGCGTGTTCACCATCTATAACGAAAGGGCCTTTCTTAAGAGAAATTTTTAAGATACCTCAACTCAACTCACCTTATCGTTTCCTTCTGCAGGCAGAGTCGGTAAAACGAAAAAGACAAAGAAAGTTCGATTATTTTTCGTGAACAATGGATTGAATTGGGATTAGGGTTCTTTTTCACGTTTTCTTCTTCCTCTCTCCCGCTGCTCAAGCAATCACTGTCGCCCGATCCTCAGTCGCTACTCGCCCCTCATAAGCTTCAGTCCGTCGTTTGCCATCAGTCGCCATCGTCTCTTCTTTCCCAGGTTCTGTCGTTCGCAAGCTTCAAGTTCGTCATCCGCAAAGCTTCAAGTCCTTCGCGAGCTTCAAGTTCCATGTCCGTGAGCTTCAAGTCCTTCTGCAGTACCACTTTTCACTCTGGTGCACAATTTCTTCTTCAGTGCCTTTCAGCTGGAGGAATTTGGTGCATTCATTAACTCCATCGGTGGCGGGAGTCACGGGCCTGAACTCAAGCTCTGGATCACTAGCTAATTGCTGAAGAACAGGTAAGAGTGGTGTGGAGTTGGTGTTTAGTTGAATGTAATGGTGTACTTTATCTTTGCGTGGTTAAGCATGAGCTCGAGCTCTAGCTCCAGCTTCATATGGTAATAGTTGTGTAAGGGTTTGCTTTCTTGCAATTGTTTGACTATTTGAGTGCCTAGTCTAGTTATGTTGCTATGCTTTTGTGGATTGCTCGATTGAGTCTTATCGGGTGCATCTTCTCGTGAAGAGTTTATCTGTAAGTATATTCTAAAGTCTGGATAATGGTCGCTTTAATGAGTATCCATGTCTCTTTATTACCTGTGAGGAGCTCTTGATGATTGAAAATGAAGCAAACAATGCTTCTCTTCTTGGTTCATCATGCAGAATTAAAATGGGATATCCAGTTTTTTTTTTCTTTTCATATTTTGGGCAGTTATGGTTTCCATTGGTAATTGGAGTTCTGCTGCATATGGTTGGGGATTCCACAGGTCAATTTTACAACGTGACCGACTAGACAATTGGCTAGACAAAGTACACACGGCTTTGTTATCTATCGAAAGTAGAAACACCAAATCTTGTCGCTTCATGATTACTCCCACGTTCCTGTTCCCCGTTTTGCAAATAGCTTCTTATTTGTATTGAAAGAAGAGAGAAAAATGAGCCACTTTGTAGTAAGGTTCTTGGTCAGGCTCTTGGGCAGCTTAATTTACTTGCTTGGTGCTTCATTGCTTTATGCCTAATTCTCCGCCGAAATTAGCAACTCCTTCCTGCTTTCTCACGTCTAAGACGAGTCCCAAGGAATTTCTTAAAACTGTGGCGACTTGGTTTTATCCTTTGGATGTGTTCATCGGAACAAAACTAGAAGACCATCCTGTATTTAAGCATATGCATGACATACAGAAACCAATCAGAAATTAGAAACCAGCGAAAGAGCTCCGGCATGAGGTTATGACATACTAGGCCCTGCGTGAGACTCTGCACGAGGAATGCAACCAAAACCACCATCCGAAGTCTTGCAACACACTATATATCCGACAGCCTTCTCCACATCTATCGAATCCAACCATTTTAGCATCGCAAGACAGCATATAGCACAAGAAGAGAACATTCGAAGGGAAAAATGGGTTGAAAGGAATGTCAATTATTTAAGAAACATCCTCAAGAAGCACAAATATTATTATTTATCAAAAAGGAGGACAAGACACTAAGTATCGACTTCTCCCCATATATCCCCAGAGAAGTTCCGTCTTCGTTTTGCACTGCTCTTATGTCAGGATCACAGTTCAGGCACAACAATGTAGAACATTTGATACCAGAGATTATCCAACAATAGCAACTTCAATCTCCATAGAAAGAGCCCTCCTCATCAATGTTTGGCTAGCAATATACACACTATAACTGTAATCAAAATTCCATAACATGACATAAGATGACCTCTTGCATGCGCAATAGAGCCTAACTTTAATTTTATCGCTCTCATGACGTTGAAAATTTAATAGCATAAAACAACACCAACGAACTTGCATCAATGGTAAGAATTTGCAAATCTAGGTTGCTTTTTTCCAAAGGATACAATCTATCACTTTATTGATTTCGAGAACATCTAACTTGTCAAAATTGGCCAAAATTTACACAACACTGAATGTATACAGCAGATGCGGATCATGTCCAACATTTGCACCAAAGCCGCCTGCACAAGCAGCCCTAAGTGTCATTCGCATTTTGTTCTATAGAGTCAAGTTTTAGATCATAAATACATTAAAGCAACACTAATCACTCCTAAGACGTGGTGGTCATCATTGCAATAGATGAGAAATATTTGATTGAATGTGCAGTGGAGGTTCAATTAGCAAATAAAGAAGCCAAGAGACAAACAAATACAAACCAGACTCGTGTTGGCATTGCAGGATTTACGAAGCCACTTCATTTGAATCCACAGTGTCAAGTTTTCCAAGAAGATCTAGAGTGGTCAATCCCCAATATGCTCCATTCAATCTCAAGTGCTCTATAACCACCGGCTCAAAACTATCCTTCTTCTTAGTGCAAGATCAACCCAGAAACTCAAATCAACTCCGAAATGCTGAATAGTAGCAGATCCAGATAAACCAAGTCATTTTCAGTAACTGGCAGGAAGTGGACAAGAAAACAACAAGAGAATTGTAAAAATTTCATACCTACCTTTTCAACAGACAGCATGTAATTGACATGTTCATCGCCAGCGAGCTCGCCCATCTGCCGTAAGACGCTACATATTTATGAACATGGAATTAAATCTTAAGCACGCCACCTAAGAACTCAGCAACTCAAGTGCAAAAAGCATATCATTACAAGGTTTGGTGAGGTCATCAAGGATCACAACAATCCTGTAAATTTAACATAATATTAGGTTCGACTTTATTTCGACTAATCGCATACGTACTGAACAGAGGGAATGAAGCTCGTCTCTATTTCTAATTGGAGAAGATGTGCCCGTGCGCAAATTGCTTGCATTCCAATCTTAAAAAGTACCTCTCTCCCTAATGGGAGCTTCTCTCTCCCTGCTATGGGAGCTTCCTCTCTCGATTACGATCTGAGAGTTTTTCCTCTTTATCTACTGCCCCTTCAATCCTCCATCGTCTTCAACACCCTATGACTCTGTGCTTCCATTTTTACCCTACGGCATACCATTTAATCACGCCACTATCCTGACGTGGTTTCGGATCCTTCTTCACTACTGGTTTCAATAGTTGTCACTAGTTGATGCATCTTCAAATCGAGCCTTCTTAGTTGTTGCTTGCCTCAGCCATCTCACTTGCTTGAACCAACAATCCTTTGACAATCAGAGGATCCAACCATGTGCAGACCAAGTTCTCGACAAAATGCTTGATAGAGAGTTAAGCTGGGATTCTTATTGTGACTATAGGAAATAAAAGAGCTAGGCGATGTTAATTACGGACTTGTGTACGTGCTGACAGAAGATGAAAAATGGGCATTGATGGCTTGCCCTAATTAGCTACTGGTTTACAAATGAATCTTATTTGCTGGAACTACCAGGGTTTAGGCTCACCCCTGACAGTCCAAGCCTTGAGAGCCCTTGTGGCTCAAGAAAAGCCTAGGTTAATAATTGTAATGGAGACAAAAAAACCATGAAAAAAGGGTGATGAGGGTAAAGAGAAACCTCAACTTTCAGAATTGTTTTATAGTGAAACCAGAGGACATATCAGGGGGATTAGCAGTAATGTGGAAAGAAATAGAAGTGGGAGTAGACTTAGCAGGGAAACATTTCATTAATCTTCGTTTAAAGGAGAAGGGGGAACATAATGCAATGAGAATCACTTTTGTCCATGCACCAAATGATTTCCAGGAAAGGCTTGTGCTATGGAAGGAGCTAAAAGGTATTAAGAGTTGCAATGACCTACTGTGGGTTGTAATGGGAGACTTCAATGAAATCTTGCATCAATGGGAAAAAGTAGGGAGAAGGGCAGCCGAGAATTACCGCCTTGCTGCGTTTCAAGATTTCTTGAATGATTGTTGTTTAATAGATGTAGAAAGTAAGGGATGTGCTTTTACTTGGGTAAATAATAGAGACGGGGGAGATTTGGTTAAAGAAAGACCGGATAGAGTCCTTTATAGCATAGAATGGAGAGTAAAATTTCCAGAAGCTGAAGTTTATGCCCCACCGGCCATTGGTTCAGCCCATAGCTCTCTCTTAGTATCCTTATTCCCAACGCAACTAAAAAGAAAGAAAATATTAAATTTGACGCTTATTAGATAGAAGATGAAGAGTGCTATGATGTAGTCAAATCTGTTTGGGAGTCACCAAAATCGGGAAGAGTAGATATGACAGGAAAGCTGAGATGTGCAGCAGCCGAGTTGGAGAGATGGAGCAAGAGAAAATTTATAGACTTATCCCGACTAATAAATTCCTTTAAACTGGAATTTCAACAGTTAACAAATTCGGTTAGTGGAGAACAAAATGGGGGAAGAGTTAAGGAGCTGAAAGTAGAAATTGAAAGCATTTGGCGACGGGAGGAAATGTAATGGGGGATGCGCTCTCGCATAAACTGGCTGAAATGGGGAGACAAAAATACTCGTTACTTTCATGCCACAACCATAAAAAGGAGGTAGAGAAATAAATTATAATACTGAAAAATTCTGAGAACCACTGGATTCGAGAGATTGAGTAGCTCAAAAGTATGACTACAAAATATTTTCAGGAGCTGTAGAGTACAAATGGTCCCAGAAACTTTCAACCAGTCATAGAACAATGCCAAAGGATTATGTCGGAGGAAATTAACAAAAAAATGATGGCTAATTTGAATATGGAAGAAGAGAGGGACGCGGTTTTCCAGTTGGGTGCAACCAAATCTCCTGGTCCAAATGGACTAAACGGCCAATTTTATCACCATCATTGGGGGATAATAAGTCAGGATATGTTCAAAATGGTGGCAGATTTCATTGAAACAGGTAAGTTTAATCCTCAGCTGAGTAGAACTCATATTGCCCTTATTCCAAAGGTGTTGAATCCAGAAAGTCTTGACCAATTTCGGCCAATTAGCTTGTGCAATTTGGATACAAGATTATTTCAAAGGTCTTGGCAAATTAGCTTAAACATTTTCTTCCAGAACTGATAGCTGGAGAACAAAGTGCTTTTGTTGGTTGTGGGGGGGGGGAAGACACATTCAAGACAATATCATGGTAGTACAGGAGGTATTGCATCTTAGAATTCGAAATAGAAAGAAGAAGTTTCAAGCGGTGCTCAAATTAGCTATGAGAAAAGCCTACGATAGGGTAGAATGGGATTTCTTGGAAGTATGTTTGATCAAAATGGGTTTCGATGTCAAATGGGTAGCTCGTATTATGTATTGTGTGATGTCGGCTACCTTGAGCGTAAAATTTAATGGTGAACCATTGAACTTCTTCTAACCTTCAAGAGGATTATGTCAAGGTGACCCACTCTCCCCTTACCTCTTCATTTTAGTAGCTAATGTACTTTCCTGTCTTTTAAAGAATGCGGTGGAGGAAGGAAGTATAATGGGGAATTAAACTAAATAGACATTGCCCAACCCTATCCCATCTTTTATTTGCAGACGACTCAATATTCTTTCCAGATGGAAGGGTTCAAGAATGTCAGAATGTCGCAGGAATTTTAAACCAGTATTGTTTTTCTTTGGGACAAGCCGTCAACTTGAATAAATATGGCATCTTTTTTAGCAGAGACTGTCCTATGAGTTTAAGAAGGAATACGGCGACGGAAATGAGAGTCCCGGAATTAGAAAAAACTGGAAAGTACCTAGGGATTCCATCGGATTGGGGCCAAACTAAGAAAAAAATGTTTGGATGGATTTTGGGTAGAGTAAACATGAAAATTGAAGGGTGGAAAGAAAGGATGATCTCAAAAGCTGGAAAAGAAACACTCATTAAAGCAGCGATACAAGCTCTACCACAATATGCCATGTCGATTTTTAAACTGCTTGTCTCCATTTGCCGAGCCATCGAACGAAAAGTCGCAAATGTTTGGTGGAAGAATGGTGATTCAAAGACAGGACTTCACTAGAAAAACTGGAATGCTATGAAAAGAAGGAAGGACCAAGGAGGAATGGGGTTTAGAGACTTAGGGTCTGCATAGCAACGTTTCTGTTCCCAGAAACAATTTTTGATCAGAAATAGTTTTTTCTATTTCTATTTCTTGGAACAGTTTCTGAGCAAAAAATAGCGTTTAGTAACTGCACAAAATTTCTATTCCTGAAATAGAAAAAGAATAGAAACGCGTTTAGGGCGCGAATGATCCATTTCTATTCCATGGACGAGTTTCTCCCTTCTAGGCTACCGGCGAAGGACGGCGGGTGGCGGAGGACGGTGGTCGGCGGTGGCGAGGAGGATGGCGGCCGCGGTGGGAGCGGTGGAGCACGGCGGTCGGCCCGGCGGAGCACGGTGGCATCGGGCGCGGTGGCCGGCAGCGAGGCGGCGGTGGCGGGAGGTGGCTGGCTGCGGAGGGTGGCCATCGTCGGTCGATAGAGCACGGAAGCCGGTGGCGAAGGATGGCGGCCGATGGTGAGTGACCGCCGGCGTCGGGTGGCCAGAGGTGGGAGGTGGCCGGCGGCCGAGGGCAGCTAGCGCCGGGTGGTGGCCGGCGTCGGGCGGTGGAGCACAATGGCCGGCGGCGGAGGATGGCGGCCGGTGGTGGGTGGCCGGCGGCGAAGGACGGCGGCGAGTGGTGGGTGATCGCCGCGTCGAGTGGTTGGCGGGGAGCGCGGCGCCGGTGGCGGCCGCGTCGGGTGATGGAGCATGGCGGCCAGCGGTGGAGGACGGCGGCCGGTGGCGGGTGGCGACAAGTGTTAAGCGGCGGAGAACAGTGGTCGACGACAAGAGGCGGCCAGCGGGCGGGAAGCGGCCGGCGGGCAACAGCGGCGAAGGACGGCGAGAGGCGGTGGTGGGCGGGTTGCGGCCGATGGATTGTTTTTTATTTTTGGAGAATTCTAGAAAAAAAATCGTTTCTTTTTTTTTGTTCCAGAAACAAGAAGCAGATTTTTTTTGCTTCTTGTTTCTGTTCCAAATCTATTTACGGAACACTTTTTTTGTTCCAGAAACAAAAAAATAGATTTTTTTTACTAAACGGATTTATGTTCTTTTTCTGTTTCGGGGAACAAAAGAACAGAAAAACAAAGAAACAGAAACGTTACTAAACAGACCCTTATTATCCGTTAATAAGGCCATGCTTGGAAAGCAAGCTTGGAGGATAGATCAAAACCCTTCTAGCATTTGGGTACAGGTACTCAAAGGACTATACTTCCCATATAGTAAATTCTAGCACGCTAGAAAGGACAGTCGTGCTTCATGGGGATGGCAGAGCATATTGTGGGGAAGAGAGGCAATTGCTAAGAATGTAAGATGGCAAGTGGGGAGTGGTAGGGATATCAAGATTAGGGAAGATAGATGGCTGAAATCAGGCATAATTGGAGAAGAGGAACTTTGTGGGGAGCCACAAACGGTAAATGAGCTGATTAACACTGAGGAAGCAAAATGGGATGAGCAAAAATTGTTTCAAATGTTTGACAAACATATCGCTGAGGAAATTTTAACTATCCCAATAGAGGACACTAGAGAGAAAGACAAAGTTATGTGGACTCGAACAGAAGCCGGCATTTTTACAGTCAAGAGTGCGTACAATCAAATTTGGGAATCAGAGAACAAGCAGAACACAACCCAGCCATCATCTTCTTACCAGCACCCAAAAGAATTATGGGGTACGATTTGGAACATGCAAACACACGAAAAATTAAAACTTTCATCTTGACTCTATGCCGTAACGCGATCTCGACTACTGAGAATTTGGGGAAAAGGAAAATTATATCGAACCCGTGTGTCCTCTCTGTCGGCAAAGCCCAAAAACTATTGAACATATCTTTCTGCTGTGCAATTGGACGAAAGGCATTTGGCGACACCCAGACCTACAAGTGGAAATAACAGAGCAGCGGCTAGACCACTTTGAAATTTGGCTACTTAATCAAGTTAGGAGGATGGGAAACTCACCTTCATCGGAGCGATTGGCGTCTGTGCTTAAGGAGATGTGGAAAGAGCAAGGAACGATTTTGTTTTTAAAACACGAGTTCCTGAGCCGTCGAAGGTAGTGGACTCTGCATTGGCGATTTGCAAAAGTTTTGAGAGATGGAACGCGGGAAACAAGAAATCAAGAAGGAAAGAAGGGTTCTCACCTGGGGAATGGAAGCCTCCAAATAGCAGTGAGTTGAAGGTGAACGTGGATGGCTCCTTTGAGGAAGGTAGATGGGAAGGGAGTATAGCGTGCGTTTGCAGAGATTATACCGGCAAGTTGGTGGATGGGTTTGCAAAGAGAGTTTGTGTTTCCACAGTCGGGCAAGTTGAAGCCCTAGCTCTCCTTGAGGCATGCAAGCATCTGAGGTCGAAGTCTTCTTTGCACTTTGTGTTGGAGTCTGACAACTTGAACCTGATAAGGCAAGTTACAGATCAAGAACAAGCTTCGTGGGAAGACGGGGCTCTTATCAAGGCCAGCAAGTTGGAGATAGCCCATTCCAAAAAGATGAGACTAGTCCATTGTGCAAGAGAAGGAAATAAAGTCGCAGACTGGATTGCCAAGCCCATAGACGTAACTGCCTTTCTAAGGACTAGCTCACTAATCCTCCTAGTGTTTTATGGAGCCTCATTGTCTCGGAGAGTAAACAGATGGAGAGAGCGAGACGGATACTGACCTTCTTCATTCTTCAAGGATAGATTGCGCGAGCTCGGCGGAGAGCTGCGGCGGCGCGTGCGCTTACGGTCTCCTGCTCAGCGTGCTCTCCCTCATTGCGATCTGGCACAACGTTCTAGGCGCTTGCCTGGGGTTCGTCGTTTTCCTCTTCAACTTCTTCGAGTGCCATCTCTTCGACGACCTCGTGCCTTGCTTCCGATCGTCCCTCCTAAGTTCCCGTTCAACTCCTCCTCCGACGTTTACGTCACCGTCGTCTCCAAGTGCCTCATTCTTCAGAGAACATACTTGGCGACTCCATGGCTTGCGAGTCTTCAGCTTCAGACAGTGTTTCTTAATTTCTTTGGGAGGCCTCCATCTTTCAGCTACAGAAGGGAAAGTTCCATTTCAAAATATGGTACAACTCCCATTGTGGTGGTGGTTCCTGGATTAACAAGTGATTCTTGTTCTGCGGACATCGGCCATCACCTCTGTCTGCAGCCGAGCGAAGGTCTTCGTCCAATAAACTCGCTTCTCAGATGAAAAAGAAGAATACCGGTCTGTCTTCTAAAGCCTCGTCGGCGAACGCACGGCAACGACGACTCTATTCCCGAACCAGGTAGGAGTTCGTCTCTAACGCCCTGTTTTAGCTCTGTTTCAATGAGCCAATCATCCGGAATTTGCTTTTTGTGAGACCGTAGGCACCTTGTACAGAAATATGATCGATCTGTGATTAATAGTGTTGGTTCAGGCCTTTATATGTCAGGATTAAGACTCAAATCACAATGGGTACGAAACTGAAACTTGCTTTCCGAAATGCGCATCACATTGAATCTCGGCCTTATGGTCGGAGTTAAAGTTAAGCGGGTGATGGGACAAATTCTATCATCGACCACGAGTTTAAGCTTATAAACATTGATCGATATCTAAAGAAAATAAACGATACTTTTTCATGCATTTATTCATGAATGCCTAATGCTATTGAATATCTTTTAGTCAGGTGTCACTTTCCTTCAAACCATATTCCTTTTTGAATAAAAAAAAGCAATCAAATAAAAAGCACAAAACAAGAAAATGAATCTAATACTAGATTTACATGATTCAGTCGTGTGATCTACGTTTACAAGAAGAGTAGTATAAGATTCCCTTATAGATAAAAAAATGTAATGAAAGTTACAATCACACTAGAGCCATTTAAATACTCTCCGTGTTTTTTAGGTTCTAATTATATTTAATAATGTTTAAGGTTCAAAATTTCTCTCGCGTAACGAAATGACACAAATCTTAACAATATAATGGGCTTCGGAACAGAAATATTTTGTGTGATCAAGAGGAACTCTTGGCACGCTTTTCAATATGCTCTGTGCAGCCTTCAGAGCTCTCCTGGAATTTAAAGAGCAAATTCAGCAGAACCAAATAAAGAAGAAGAAAGGAAACGACTGAGTGGCCAACATGGAAAGACACCATCCTTGCAACTTTCTTCGTCTTCTTCCCTTTCGGCCCACGTCGGCAATGGCCATCATCATTAATCTCGTTTTCCCTTTCTTCAGCTGAGCAAAGCCGTCTCTTATGGTCAATACCATCATGGTTTCCCTTTCTTCCTTTCGTGCTCAGAGCGACACCACGATGGATCATGGAGTGGCATCATGGCCATTGACAGGCCATCACTGCATTTCCTCTCACCAATTTTGAACAGTGGTGGAGCGTCCATAATTCCATCCGGTCCTATTTCATCCAACGAGTTCAAATTCGAAATATATTCTAACATATTTGGTTTAACGTCCAAACCACTCTAACTACACTATGCTCTCATTCTAATTGTCGTCGGTAGGAAATAAATGATCATTTGCTTTTTAATATAATGACACGTTTTATGAGAATATTTGAGTTGTTAAGGGAAATTACTTGTAATTAAAGGTAAGTCTTTAAGGCGAAGAGATCAAAACAAATATTTCATAGTAAGTAGTAGTACGTATATGCTTAGGTAATGCTTAGGTGGAGCATTTGTTGTAGAGAATGCAGCAAATCCAATCTTTGTAGTATGAACGAGATTTTTCTAATTATCCGGAGTCCTAAGTGTTAGAATGACAAGCGGAATATTTCGTTACTCTATATAAATAAATTGTTATTTTACAATACTAGATTGGGATTTTAAATATGCCCAACTATAGATATAGAGAATCAAATATTTTTAATCCAAAAGGTCAAAAGCACAAAGTGAACAGCACAAAGGAGAAACTCGAAAGAAATTGAGCGTGTAAAAAGGCGTACCTCCACAATTGTCCTCCACCTTATTTTTCTTTTCTAAAGCCATCAACTTTATTGACTATAAACTAAAAACTGCACCTGCTACGAAGTTGCCTATACGCGATTTGGATGGCAAATGAGATGGGATTCAAATATGTGAAATGTCATATGGCGAACACAGAGACCAGGTGAGAGGGCTGACCTTGCCAAGTGCGAAGTGAGCTCCTATGGCGAACTTAGAGACGGGAACGAGCACTAGCAATACATCAGGAGGTGAGTACCAGGTCTTCTTGAGTTTTACAGGGCTTGATACTTGCCGTACATTCACAGATAGCCTCCACCAAGCCTTGGTAGATGCCGGGATTAGTGTTTTCACCTATGACGAAGGGCTTCGAGCAAGTGACAGAATTAGTGGCAACCTTCTACAAGCGATCGACAATTCCAAGCTCTACATACTCATCTTCTCCAAAAATTACGCTTCAAGTGATCGGTGCCTCAACGAGCTTGCGGAGATGGTGGAGAATGCCTCTAAATATAAAGAAGATAGGAAAGAGCAGGTCATACTACCCATCTTCTACGACGTGAAACCCGCTGACGTGAAGTTGAAAACCTCGTTGTACAAAGAAGCCATATCGAATTTCAACTCCAAGGATATAGAGAGATGGCGGAAAGCTCTCAAAGAAGTTTGTGGCTACAAGGGATGGGAGCTGGAGAAATATTCATCGTAACAATCTAACCATGATTGTGAAAATTATTTTGTACAATCGGGCCATTTTATATTTAAGTAAATCTTCTATTATGGTAAATCGTTAGATGTTTATATTTTGATACTTCAACTATTTTTTGCCAGAAATTCTGATTCTTCTACTTGATATAAAGATCAAACGTTTCTCTTCTATATCCTAAACTTGATCGCATTCCCACCTGGTTGGTTAGTAGATGGTTGGTCAACATGCAAATTTCTCACCTTTTCTCAATTGAAAGTGTTCAACTTTGTGGCAGCTATGCGGAACTTATCCAGGCGGTTGTTCAAGAGGTTATGGCCAGGCTCGAGACAAGACAGAGACGTGTAACCAGAGATTTAGTTGGAATGGAGGATCGAATAGCAACCATAAACAATTTATTAGACATCGACTCTGATGGTGTGCGGCTAATTGGAATCTACGGGATGGGCGGCAGCGGTAAAACAACACTTGCCAAGATTATCTTCAACCAACTATGTCCTCGCTTTGGGAAAAATTGCAGCTTTCTTGACGACGTGAGGGAAACAGCAAACACCAATCGTTTAGAGAAGTTGCAAAAAAAATTATTGTTCGATGTCACTGGAAAGGAAACTTACATTACAAACGTTGATCAAGGGACCAATAGGATTGAAGATACAATTTGCAACAAGAAGGTGCTAATTGTATTGGATGATGTTGATGAGGCCTACCAGATCCAAAAACTAATTGGAGAGAAAATTTTCTATCCTGGTACTAGAATCCTTGTTACCACTAGGGACAAGAGTGTTCTGAATATCGGGGGATTTAAGTATGAATTCAAGGATTATGAAATGATGGGGTTAAGCAGCAAAGATGCACTTAAACTTTTTAGTAGGCATGCCTTCAACGAGGACTCTCCTCCAGATGACTACTGCACTCTTTCAAAGGGCATTGTCTATACTACAAATGGACTACCTTTAGCTCTTCAAGCAACAGGTTCATCCCTCTTTTATAAGAAAAACAAAGAAATATGGAAAGAGTGGCTAGAGAAGCTAAAGAAAACACCTCATAAGGATGTCTTGGCAAAGCTAAGGATTAGCTATGATGCCTTAGAGGGGTATGAAAAACAAATATTCCTCGATATTGCATGCTTTTTCATTGGTGAGAATAAGACTAATCCAATGTACATGTGGAAAGATTGTAAGTTTTACCCAGTGGGTGCCATCGAGGTCCTTATTAACATATGCATGATAAAGGAGTTAGACGATAATAGCCTTTGGATGCACGATCAGTTTAGAGATCTTGGAAGGAAAATTGCCAAAGATGAAGGAACCCGATTGTGGGATAAAGATGACATCATTCACAAATTAAAATCAACAGAGGTAAAGTATGGCCAAATTTGAATTGAAATTTACTTATAACCTCTTCTTAATTGATGTTTCACGTTTTTGAATTGGGAGCTACACTTCTACTACATTTTTTCTTTTCTTCTACGAAATAAAATAGTGGGATATTGACAAATTCCTCTTTCTGCTCCTTAATGTCATTGGCAGACCAAGGGAAGCGTTGAAGCACTACGTATGAAACCAAGGGGTTCGTCGAAAGATCCTATAATTGTCACTTCGGAGCAAATTAAGCAATTCCCGGATATAAGGTTTCTTTCGTTGTGTGAGGTAAACTGCCAAGGTGACTTTATGGGCTGTCTTTCCAAGTTGAAATGGATCAGTTTGGAGAACAAATATTCTATTCCTCCTGGACATGCCGCTGGCCATTGTCAACGGCTTGAGGCAACTAATTCGTGGCATCTAGAAAACGTGGTTGTGTTGAATCTTTCTGGGGTTGATATCACAGAAGATGTGTTCCAGAGCCTAATCAAGGTATGCTAGTTTCACCCTTAGTCTAATTTTCTCATTCACTGAAGGTAAAAATCTGATGGATTTATGATCTAATTTTCTCATTGGTAGCCTAAATCCATATTTATTTCTTGTCTATCCTGAGGTTTCATTGGCTTTTGTAGGAGGCAAGGAAATTGAAGGTTCTCACTCTTTGTTATAATACGCTGATACATGGGAAACCAACTTTTCCCCGGAACTCAAGTTTAGAGAAGTTGACGATTTCCAATTTTCTTTCCTTGAAGGAAATTGATCGCTCTATTGGGAAACTGACGAAGCTAACTGACTTGAGTTTTGAGTTATGTGTCGAAATTGAAAAATTGCCTGAACAAATTGGAGAATTGCGAGAATTGCAGCACCTCTCTCTTAGGAGTTGTGATAGCTTGAGGGAACTCCCCGACTCGGTTTTGAAATTAACGTCGTTAATGAAGCTGGATGTATGGGGCACGAGAATTACAAGGTTACCAGATTCCATTGATAGACTATCAAGCCTGTCATCTATCAATGCATCATTCACATCGATTGAAAAACTGCCCAGTACAATGAGCAAACTTCTTTGCCTCCAAACACTGCATTTGAATAATTGCAATCAGATACAAGAGCTGCCGGAGCTCCCTAGAAGTTTGACCACTCTACAGTTGACATCTACTTCGTTGGTGACTGTCCCTAACCTCTCATACCTTACTAATCTAGTTGAACTGGCCCTGTCCGATGGCTCTGAATCTGTTGCCGAATCAGATATAATTCAAACTTGCGACTTGCAGTGGATTGGGAGTTTATCCAAACTGAGCAAGCTGCAATTTTGCTTTTCAAATGTCTGCGTTTCGACTATGGAGTTGGGTTCCCTTTCTCAGCTGAAAGAACTTATTCTACATGGACTAGACGTGCCAGCTTTCAAACAACTTCCATCATCAGAGTTGATGGTTCTAGAGCTCTACGACACTCGAGGGAAACAAATATGGCTTCCTCCATCGGAAAAGGAGACTGCAACCGTTGCATCAAGTTCGAGAAAATCGGAAAAAAGCAAGGTGTTACGGCAAATTGAAATTATTTTCAGGGAAGGATCATTGGATGGGTCAGTTCATCTGCGGAAGGAGCCGGGGTGCAATGAGCTACAAGCTCCCGAGTTGATTGATCATTGGAGGGGAGACTTCCATTTCCCAAGCTCCATAAATACGCTTCGAAAACTCGTTCTGTGGGGGTGCCCGGGGGTAGAAGATATTCAATTTGTTCCTACGCCGTTGTTAATATTGTCTGTTGGAGGGTGCACTTCATTAAAAAGATTAGGCGGTTTGTCAAACTTGAAGTACCTGACGGAGTTGACTCTTAACCGGTGCTGGAACCTACAGGTTGTCGAGGGCATTGACGAGTTAAAGTTTTTGCATCAGTTGACAATTGATCGGTGTGGATCAGTGGAGAGGATTCTTGACCCATCGAGCTCAAAAATACCCGATAAGTGCTCAATAAGCATAAAACGTAGTGGGAAGTTACCTGACTGTGGTCGAACTCACAACTCTTGGGGGTCTTACAAAAAGATTCTGAATGGAACTGAAATTGAAACGGCCGACTCTGAAACAGAAACAATGCATACAGAAACAGAGGGTTTTTTTATAACAGTGCAGGGGAACTTTATATTTAGATTTGATAAATCTGAAACAGAAACAGGGGATGCTCCGGTACACCTCTCTGCTATTGTTACAGTACCGGACATGAACTCTATAATTGAAAGAACGGACTCTGAAACAGAATCAGAATCAGAATCAGAAACAGAAACAGAGGAAAGGGTGCGCCTTCTTTCTATTCATAGATCATCGCTGTTTCTTCTGCTTTACTTGCTTTCTTTTTCTGCTTTATTAAAATTCCCGATTTACTGGGAATCTCCATATGCTGTCTGTGTGTCCACTTCGGTGGCGAGGTGAGGGATCTTACATCCCTCACCATCTATAACGAAACAGCCTTTCTTAAGAGAAATTTTTAAGATACCTCAACTCAACTCACCTTATCGTTACCTTCTGCAGGCAAGGTCGGTAAAACAAAAAGGATAAAGAAAGTTCGATTATTTTTCGTGAACAATGGATTGAATTGGGATTAGGGTTCTTTTTCACGTTTTCTTCTTCCTCTCTCCCGCTGCTCAAGCAAATCACTGTCGCCCGATCCTCAGTCGCTACTCGCTCCTCGCAAGCTTCAGTCCGTCGTTTGCCATCAGTCGCCATCGTCTCTTCTTTCCCAGGTTCCGTCGTCCGCAAGCTTCAAGTTCGTCGTCCGCAAAGCTTCAAGTCCTTCGCGAGCTTCAAGTTCCATGTTCGTGAGCTTCAAGTCCTTCTCCAGTGCCACTTTTCACTCTGGTGCACATTTTCTTCTTCAGTGCCGCTCAGCTGGACGAATTTGGTGCATTCATTAACTCCATCAGTGGCGGGAGTCACGGGCCTGAACTCAAGCTCTGGATCACTAGCTAATTGCTGAAGAACAGGTAAGAGTGGTGTGGAGTTGGTGTTTAGTTGAATGTAATGGTGTACTTTATCTTTGCGTGGTTAAGCATGAGCTCGAGCTCTAGCTCCAGCTTCATATGGTAATAGTTGCGTAAGGGTCTGCTTTCTTGCAATTGTTTGATTATTTGAGTGCCTAGTCTAGTTATGTTGCTATGCTTTTGTGGACTGCTCGATTGAGTCTTATCGGGTGCATCTTCTCGTGAAGAGTTTATCTGTAAGTATATTCTAAAGTCTGGATAATGGTCACTTTAATGAGTATCCATGTCTCTTTATTACCTGTGAGGAGCTCTTGATGATTGAAAATGAAGCAAACAATGCTTATCTTCTTGGTTCATCATGCAGAATTAAAATGGGATATCCAGTTTTTTTTTTCTTTTCATATTTTGGGCAGTTATGGTTTCCATTGGTAATTTGAGGTCTGCTGCATATGGTTGGGGATTCCACAGGTCAATTTTACAACGTGACCGACTAGACAATTGGCTAGACAAAGTACACACGGCTTTGTTATCTATTGAAAGTAGAAACACCAAATCTTGTCGCTTCATGATTACTCCCACGTTCCTGTTCCCCGTTTTGCAAATAGCTTCTTATTTGTATTGAAAGAAGAGAGAAAAATGAGCCACTTTGTAGTAAGGTTCTTGGTCAGGCTCTTGGGCAGCTTAATTTACTTGCTTGGTGCTTCATTGCTTTATGCCTAATTCTGCGCCGAAATTAGCAACTCCTTCCTGCTTTCTCACGTCTAAGACGAGTCCCAAGGAATTTCTTAAAACTGTGGCGACTTGGTTTTATCCTTTGGATGTGTTCATCGGAACCAAACTAGAAGACCACCCTGTATTTAAGCATATACATGACATACAGAAACCAATCAGAAATTAGAAACCAGCGAAAGAGCTCCGGCATAAGGTTATGACATACTAGGCCCTGCATGAGACTGCACGAGGAATGCAACCAAAACCACCATCCGAAGTCTTGCAACACACTATATATCCGACAGCCTTCTCCACATCTATCGAATCCAACCATTTTAGCATCACAAGACATCATATAGCACAAGAAGAGAACATTCGAAGGGAAAAATGGGTTGAAAGGAATGTCGATTATTTAAGAAACATCCTCAAGAAGCACAAAAATTATTATTTATCAAAAAGGAGGACAAGACACTAAGTATCGACTTCTCCCCATATATCCCCAGAGAAGTTCCGTCTTCGTTTTGCACTGCTCTTATGTCAGGATCACAGTTCAGGCACAACAAAGTAGAACATTTGATACCAGAGATTATCCAACAATAGCAACTTCAATCTCCATAGAAAGAGCCTCCTCATCAATGTTTGGCTAGCAATATACACACTATAACTGTAATCAAAATTCCATAACATGACATAAGATGACCTCTTGCATGCGCAATAGAGCCTAACTTTAATTTTATCGCTCTCATGACGTTGAAAACTTAATAGCATAAAACAACACCAACGAACTTGCATCAATGGTAAGAATTTGCAAATCTAGGTTGCTTTTTTCCAAAGGATACAATCTATCACTTTATTGATTTCAAGAACATCTAACTTGTCAAAATTGGCCAAAATTTACACAACATTGAATGTATACAGCAGATGCGGATCATGTCCAATATTTGCACCAAAGCCGCCTGCACAAGCAGTCCTAAGTGTCATTCGCATTTTGTTCTATAGAGTCAAGTTTTAGATCATAAATACATTAAAGCAACACTAATCACTCCTAAGACGTGGTGGTTATCATTGCAATAGATGAGAAATATTTGATTGAATGTGCAGTGGAGGTTCAGTTAGCAAATAAAGAAGCCAAGAGACAAAACAAATACAAACCAGACTCGTGTTGGCATTGCAGGATTTACGAAGCCACTTCATTTGAATCCACAGTGTCAAGTTTTCCAAGAAGATCTAGAGTGGTCAATCCCCAATATGCTCCATTCAATCTCAAGTGCTCTATAACCACCGGCTCAAAACTATCCTTCTTCTTAGTGCAAGATCAACCCAGAAACTCAAATCAACTCCGAAATGCTGAATAGTAGCAGAGCCAGATAAACCAAGTCATTTTCAGTAACTGGCAAGAAGTGGACAAGAAAACAACAAGAGAATTGTAAAAATTTCATACCTACCTTTTCAACAGACAGCATGTACTTGACATGTTCATCGCCAGCGAGCTCGCCCATCTGCCGTAAGACGCTACATATTTATGAACATGGAATTAAATCTTAAGCACGCCACCTAAGAACTCAGCAACTCAAGTGCAAAAAGCATATCATTACAAGGTTTGGTGAGGTCATCAAGGATCACAACAATCCTGTAAATTTAACATAATATTAGGTTCGACTTTGTTTCGACTAATCACATACGTACTGGGGAATGAAGCTCATCTCTATTTCTAATTGGAGAAGATGTGCCCGTGCTCAAATTGCTTGCATTCCAATCTTAAAAAGTACCTCTCTCCCTAATGGGAGCTTCTCTCTCCCTGCTATGGGAGCTTCCTCTCTCGATTACGATCTGAGAGTTTTTCCTCTTTATCTACTGCCCCTTCAATCCTCCATCGTCTTCAACACCCTATGACTCTGTGCTTCCATTTTTACCCTACGGCATACCATTTAATCACGCCACTATCCTGACGTGGTTTCGGATCCTTCTTCACTACTGGTTTCAATAGTTGTCACTAGTTGATGCATCTTGAAATCGAGCCTTCTTAGTTGTTGCTTGCCTCAGCCATCTCACTTGCTTGAACCGACAATCCTTTGACAATCAGAGGATCCAACCATGTGCAGACCAAGTTCTCGACAAAATGCTTGATAGAGAGTTAAGCTGGGATTCTTATTGTGACTATAGGAAATAAAAGAGCTAGGCGATGTTAATTACGGACTTGTGCACGTGCTGACAGAAGATGAAAAATGGGCATTGATGGCTTGCCCTAATTAGCTACCGGTTTACAAATGAATCTTATTTGCTGGAACTACCAGGGTTTAGGCTCACCCCTGACAGTCCAAGCCTTGAGAGCCCTTGTGGCTCAAGAAAAGCCTAAGTTAATAATTGTAATGGAGACAAAAAAACCATGAAAAAAGGGTGATGAGGGTAAAGAGAAAGCTCAACTTTCAGAATTGTTTTATAGTGAAACCGGAGGACATATCAGGGGGATTAGCAGTAATGTGGAAAGAAGTAGAAGTGGGAGTAGACTTAGCAGGGAAACATTTCATTAATCTTCGTTTAAAGGAGAAGGGGGAACATAATGCAATGAGAATCACTTTTGTCCATGCACCAAATGATTTCCAGGAAAGGCTTGTGCTATGGAAGGAGCTAAAAGGTATTAAGAGTTGCAATGACCTACTGTGGGTTGTAATGGGAGACTTCAATGAAATCTTGCATCATTGGGAAAAAGTAGGGAGAAGGGCAGCTGAGAATTACCGCCTTGCTGCGTTTCAAGATTTCTTGAATGATTGTTGTTTAATAGATGTAGAAAGTAAGGGATGTGCTTTTACTTGGGTAAATAATAGAGACGGGGGAGATTTGGTTAAAGAAAGACTGGATAGAGTCCTTTATAGCATAGAATGGAGAGTAAAATTCCCAGAAGCTGAAGTTTATGCCCCACCGGCCATTGGTTCAGCCCATAGCTCTCTCTTAGTATCCTTATTCCCAACGCAACTAAAAAGAAAGAAAATATTAAATTTGACGCTTATTAGATAGAAGATGAAGAGTGCTATGATGTAGTCAAATCTGTTTGGGAGTCACCAAAATCGGGAAGAGTAGATATGACAGGAAAGCTGAGATGTGCAGCAGCCGAGTTGGAGAGATGGAGCAAGAGAAATTTTATAGACTTATCCCGACTAATAAATTCCTTTAAACTGGAATTTCAACAGTTAACAAATTCGGTTAGTGGAGAACAAAATGGGGGAAGAGTTAAGGAGCTGAAAGTAGAAATTGAAAGCATTTGGCGACGGGAGGAAATGTAATAGGGGAT